AAACCCGTCCAGTAAACCAGGAAAAATTTGGACAAAGCCGGAAATTGTTTTAAACCAAAATAAACACCGTGTTTAACTTTTGTCTTTACATTGATCAAGATATCTCTAAAAGTTAAATCAGAGAGCCCACAAATACTACTGAATTAAGCTTCATAGCAATTGGTATCAATTATAATTTTTTCAATTTTTTGATATTCAAAACATTTTTATACTTACATCTTCGTTATAAGAAAGTATTTTTGAAAAAATATGCTAAAATGTGACTAAATAACATGTAATACTCAACTATAGAAAGTTTAGAAGCAATCCATGAAAAAATATAAAATTTAGAAATGATTTGTGTTAAATAAATTTATTTATTAGAGTCAAGTATTTATTTAATTAATCCAATTAAGATTTATTTGATTCAACTAAATAAAATTATTTAAACGAAATAAATTCTTATTAGATCGAAATAAAAACTTTTTAAATAAGATATTATTTTTCAAATAATTATAATTACTTGAATCATATAACTTTTTTTAGTGTAGCTATAGTAAACTAAAAGTTATTAATGTGAACGAACATTATCTATATTAATAAAATCAGATTACTATCTGTACATTGCTCCAAACTTGAAAATTTTTATATATTTTTTCGTTTTGAGACATTAGAATTCTAAAAATGTAAAAAAAATTTCTGTCTGTCTGTCTCTGTCTGTATGCAAAACTTTGTTCGCGCATCAATTGAAAACGGTTCAACCAATTAAAGTGAAATTTGGCAGTCTATTAGGTATTAAAGTAACTTACAATCATAGCCTTATCCGCTTAAAAAATATTAACTTGAACAAAAGTTATGACATTTTTCCAAAAAATTCAAAAAAACAAAAAAATGCAAATTTTTTATCTTTTGTAAAATGAATGAAAAAACTATCCTTAGCTAACTTTTTCAGATAAATACAACCCATTTCTACGATAAAATTTTTAAAAAAGATGTATTTTGAAATTTTTTTTCGTTTTTTTTAGATCAACTTTTTTCTAAGAAAATAGTGATTTTTAATCTTTAAGCAAGCTTTTCAGGAAAAGTTATTAAAGTTTTTTATTTAAAGATCAGTATGTAAAGTAAAAAATTTGCTACATTAAACAAAAATAATTAGCTAAATGCCATAAAAAAGAAGGAAAAATGTTGAATTTTAAGAAATTCGGTTTTTTGAATTTTTGCTAATTTTCCATAATTTTAGATTTTTTACCGAAGGGTGGAGATAACAAATTAGGTAAAGTATTTTTTAAGAGCACAAAAATAATAAAGCTAAATGCTATAAAAAAGAAGGAAAAATGTTGAATTTTAAGAAATTCGGTTTTTTGAATTTTTGATAATTTTCCATAATTTTAGCTTTTTTACCGAAGGGTGGAGACTATTGAATAAGTAAAGTATTTTTTAAGAGCACAAAAATAATAAAGCTAAATGCCATAAAAAGAAGGAAAAATGTTTAATTTTAAGAAATTCATTTTTTTGCATTTTTGCTATTTTTCCATAATTTTAGATTTTTTACCAAAGGGTGGAGATAACAAATTAGGTAAAGTATTTTTGAAGAGCCCAAAAATAATGAAGCCAAAAGCCATAAAAGAGAAGAAAAAATGTTGAATTTTAATAAATTCGGTTTTATGAATTTTTGCTAATTTTCCATAATTTTAGATTTTTTACCAAAGGGTGGAGACTATTTAATAAGTAAAATCTTTTCAAAGAGCCCAAAAATAATAAAGCTAAATGATATAAAAGAGAAGAAAAAAATGTTAAATTTTAAGAAATTCGGTTTCTCGAATTTTTGATAATTTTTAATTTTTTGCTAAAGGGTGGAGACTATTCAAATAGTATAATTATACTACCGAAATAGCTAATGGTAACAAATTATTAATTAATTAATTATTAACTAATTATTAATTATTATTAATTAACTAATTATTAATTATTAATTATTAATTAATTTATCCCGGGTATTTTTGATTTTCCAGATTGGTAGAAACATTGTTAAATGTATTGGTAGAAACTAAAACCCGTCGAAGACGGGTACGACATGACAGCTAGTGCTATATATTTTCAAAATTTTTAAAATTCAAAATTTATCTTTTGAAATAATTATTGTCATTAATTTTACTTAAATTTTATACAGGGTTAATTTTAGTATTTTTTATTACAATTTAGTCATCAGAATGAAATTTGAGTTTTTCATTTTTTGATCATTAATTAATAAAATATAATAGCAATTTTGAATTCTGTGCAACATACTGACAAAAGTCTCATATTAATTATATGGATATTGTTAATATTCTGACCTAATAGAATTCTTTTAAGAAAGTAAACTTATGATTTCAACAACAAATTTTTATTGTTGACCTAAGAAATACAACCGTATAAAAATTAATTACAAAAAAATTTCAATTTTTAAACTTTTTAATTTTTCAATATTTAAATCTAACACTTTTTATTTGTTATTCAAAATTTTATTATTCTGACGATTAAATCTTCATAAGAAACACTAAAATTAACCCTGTACTAAGTTTAAGTACAATTCACTAAAGTATATGAAAAAACTAAAAATTTCGAATTTTCGAATTTTTGAAAAAATGGCATAACTTTCGTCCATATTAATATTTTTTAATCTACTATCGCTAGGATTTTAAGTTAGGCTAATGCCTAAAAGACTGCCAAGTTTCACTTCAAACGATCGAACCGTTTTTCCGTGATACGCGGTCGAAAATTTGCGGACATACATACACACATACACACATACACACATATACACATACACACATAATTTTCTTAATAGTATTTTCGCATTCCTTAGAGTGTAAAAAGAAGGAATATAATAGAAATTTTGAATTCTATGCAATGTACAGACAAAAGTCTGATTTTATTAATAAGGATTTTTCCGAAAATTAATAATTCCGAAAATCCAAACTACTTTGTTGTTTTTGTTAATCAAAAAGAGTGTTGTAACCTGTGTGCTTGTTAATGTCAGTGAATAATAAAAAATGTCAGAAAAACTGTGAACAAGTTAAAATTATTATTTCTCTTATACAAAAACCTACTATTTTTTTTGACAGTCAATAAATAACTCTCAAAGAAGGTGCAAGGAATTTTCATTGACTTTTTTGAATCTCTCATGCAGGACTATAACAAAAAGTAACATTAATTCGCTATTTCCATAAAAATATTTATGGAATATTCAATTTCATATTTTGTTTATTATGGATATTTTTCTTGTGTGTTTTTACGTTTAAGGAGGTTGTTTACAGGTATGCAGACCTTCAGAAAAAATATGGAATTGACATTAAAGAAATTTTTAATATTATTGTTACTCGTATCTTCTGGAAGAACAAATATCAATTTTCAAGAAAAATAATTTAAACTTACAAAAATTGTTTATTTAGTCATTTTGCATATGATCAAAGTTTTCAATATATTAAAAGGTTAAACTTTTTCAGAACTGATTCGATTTAAGACATTTGTTCTTCCAGAAGATACAATGTAGCCGATAGGGCACTATTAAGAACGATTAAAAAGTCAACCGTCCGCAATTGTAAGAACACGATTAAGAAACACGATTGAGGACAATAGACAATTTTTTGTTATTGTTTTCAATTGTTTCCAATCGATTTTTTTTAAAAGGGTTAAAACTCCTGATGATTCACCAGTTAATTCCCTGCGAAGTATTTGGGCAGGTGGTTGTTCAGGGTGTTCTTCTGCAAGCCTTTTTAAGTTATTTCTCAGATTATCTCGTATATTGGTTAAGAAACAGATTTCAATTGTTTTTTTTAATTTTTTTATTTGGCAAAATTTTTTACTAATTTATATGCGAAGAATTAGATTCGGAAATTTTTTTTTGAAATTTTTTACTAATTTATATGCGGAGAATTGGATTTGAAAAAATTTTTTCGGAATTTTTTTTCGGAATAAATGATTTTTCGGAAAAAATAACTTGCTGAAATTTGCTTTCGGAAAAATGACCGGGATATCAGTTTAGTATTTAAAAAATTTAGATCAATATCTGTTCATTTAATACTTTGCAGTATGTAAATATATATGACAAACTACTCAATTCCCATAGGACTCACGTTAAATGTTGAAAATCAAAAATGTTTATAACTTTTTTCATAGGTACCTAGAGGTCTCAAAAATTTAATTATGCCTTTATATTAACTTTATCTAGCTGCGCATCAAGTTTTATCAAAATCTGTTCATTAAATCAATTATCGATAGAACCTCCTTAAATCTCTTTAAAAAATTATGTTGACATGTTGATACTACTAATTTATGTAATAAGAAATTAAGACGAAAAAATAAGATTTTTTATTCTTTAGAGTATAAAGAATTAACAAACACAAAAGCTTCTTTATTATAAAATTTAATAAAGATGCTAACAATTATTTTCACGGGTTAGTTAAAAAAGCATTATTTTGACAATATTTTAAGCCCACTATGCGGCCATTATGCAAAAGAAGTAAAATTAACTAATGAGTCATAAATCATATATGTAATATTATGCGCTTTAAAAATATGTTGCAAAAAGTTCAAAATCTAAAATAATACAATATTATAAAGGTTATAATATAAAAAATAATAGGATTTCATCATTTAAAAATACGTCACTTCAATATGACACATATGTAAACAAAGAACAGTCGCAATCTTTTGAATCTGGCCCCGTTATATTAGTTTAACAAAGTGCCAGCATATAGAGTGTCATAGTATTCTTTTACTTTCTTTCAATTCGAAAAGTGAGCAGTATAATTATTGTAACTAGTTTACCAAATGTTCCAGAAAACTAAAGAATTTTCCTTTACCGTTAGGCACATTAAATTAATGTTTTATGATTTTTTGCATATTTAAATTTGAACTTGAATTTCTTTGCCTTTTAAAATCGATTACATCCTCTCAATATTAACTAAAGATTCTAATTAGGTTCTGACGCGAAATTATTGTTAATTTTGATTTTTAAATAGCAAAATGAAAGAACATACCATTCTCTGAATTTTCTTGCGTTTCCCCCGTGTCTGTGAAAAGATTGTTAAGAGCACGTGTATTGGAGGGAAGAAATGGACCATATTCTATTCCACCGTTGGTATCAATGGGGTCTACATCAGGATCTGCATATCCTTCTAAGTCCCCAGGAGCTGGAAGTGGAATTGGAAAGTCTGAAGCCGGAGTATTACTTTCTGCCCTATAAAATGTCCAAAGTTTTAATATTCAATTTAGAGAAAATTATATTGTTCGGTGTAAGACTTGAAAACAGTACCAGGTATTCTCAATTCCCATAATGTTGTCCACAGAAAGGAGATTATCTTCGTGTAGAGTCAAGTTCTGATCTAGGGAAGATGTTAACGGACTGAGACGAGGTGACGCCCCAAATAATTCGGAAATTTCTGACGACTCGATCATCGAATTGTCTTCGATTTCCGAAACCACCTTATTGTCCATTCAGTCTGCTATTTATCTACAAAATTTAAAGGATAGTTTCTTATTTCTAAATTAAAAACCAAAAAATCACCTGTTAATTAATAACAAATACTTACAATTATAAAATAATTCTGCCGTTCAAAAGAAAAAGATACATAAGCGACATTACCATCAATCCGAAAAAATAAAAAAAACTTTTTGCCTCTTAAACTTTAATTCAAATTAACTTTTTTAAAAAAATTTTTAATCAATATTTAATAAATAATATTCTGCTTCTCATTATATGTAAAAAAAATTATTTTTTTAAACAATTTCTATTGTAAAATGGACATACGGGTTTCTAGTAGTGATAAATACAGACGAATAAAGGCACATAGTCGCTTATGTTTTATTTCTCGGTAAACTTACTCGAGCTCAACCCTGCTGTCCAGAGGAAAAAGATACATAAGCGACATTACATAAAAGAACTGTAAAATTATCGCTTTTCTTCTTCTGTAAACTCGACTCACTCTCAGACTATTTTACAGAGGAAAAACATACATAAAGACAGTCGCTTCCTTTAGTCTGTAAAGTCTGCTCACTCTCAGGCTCCTTTACCGAGTAAGAAGATACATAAGCGACTTTGTGTATCATTTTGTCCTGTAAGTTGGTGATGTATGCAGCGTTGATTACCGAAATATGAACCCACAAAGTGTTTTATGTATCTGTTAACTCTGTATTTCGTCACTTTTTCCATTTTTGTAATTTTTAAACAATCTTTTTTTGCAATAAATAATTTAATTTTTTAATTTTTTTTTACATAGTTAAATGCAGCTTTTTTTATGAATCCAATGATACCAAAAACCCAATTTTTTCAAAAATGTCGCTTATGTATCTTTTTCCTTTGGACGGCAAAATTTTAGTGTGATTAAAAAAAAAGATAATTTTCAACATCTTTTTACTGACGTTATTGAAAAAAGTAATTAAAAAAAGAATATGAAACAACAGTACAGTCATTTTTTAAATGTTATTAGCAACTTTTTCAAAGGTTCAAGTTTGCAGTTTTTGAAAAAAGAAAAAGTAATTAGCCGATATGCATTAAAGATGTAAAATTCATGTTATGGAAGGGTAAATGATCCCTAAAAATGTGTGCACATCAAAATTGGAAATTGACTTGAAAAAAAAGAAATCATAAGATTGAAAAGAAGTATTGCGTCGATAAACAAGTTTTTAAGTTAAGATTATCATTCCCTCAGCAACAGGCAGCGTCAGATTAGTCTGAATTGAGTTCTGGACTTTTTTTTTTAGAAAAGTCAAGCTTGCAGATTGAACTGAAAAAGCGGGTCACACGAGTTTCCATCTTAACAACCAGTCACCTCCGCCCGCAAAGCAGGCATCCGCGGCTAAGGACTGGAGTCAAGCTGTTTCTGGTTCTCGCGCACACTTTTAAAGTGTCGTCCTGCTAGGACGTTCGAGGACCTCGTCTCAGACCTTCCCGAGGTGGTTACAAGAGACAAATTAATGCCTTGTAAACAAAAACACCCCTTCTGCTAGATTGACGCTGCCACTTTCATCATCGGGAAAATTATTATAATCTATTTCAATTAATTATTCAACAAAATATGCTACAAACTTCTTTATTTCATTCGTAAACTAATTAACTTTAATTAAGAAGTGTTAAACTAAATAACAGAAAAACAGTTTCAGGGATCACAGTACCTTTTCTCTGTGATGTAGGTGAAAAGGTGAATTATTAAAAAAATGATTAAAAATAGGTGACAAAACAAATTACATGAAATAAAGTTATGGATAAAAAATGAGTAATTTTATTTTGTCTTCATAAATGAAGATTCGAAATTTTTGAATTTATTGGTAGGACTAACAATTTATTAATAAAAATTAGTAATAAATAAGATCTCGATTAATTGAATTTTAAATTCTTTGAAATAATATGAGGCAAGCTATACCCCTAAAATTCTGAACATTTAAATTAAGGAAGAATCTAACGTGCAGGAAAAGCAAAAGTTAGTCTGTCATAATTTTATATTTTAAAAGAAAAAAATGAATTAAATTTTAAACTTGTTTTAATGAAACGGTAAATAATTTAATTTCTTACAACGCTACCTAAATTTGGATCAGAAATCACGTGGAAATGACCCACATTTGTCAACCATTTGTTTGATTTTCTATCTCCTTTTGGAACATATAGGCCTGCACAGAATGAAACCTCTTAACCTTATATCCTAATTTTTACATGAGGGAAAGAAGGATAAAAATATCGTTTGCCTTCTTCTAGAAAAGGACAGAAGATATATTTATTCTTTTCTCTCTCATGTACAAATTAAAATTTATAAGATTGAGAGATTATTGTCGGATTCTTACTTGTTTATTTACTAATTTTTTTAACGAATAAAAATTTTTTTTTCATAAACATGATTGGCTTAATAGTTTTGTATGGTCGTAAGGAACAACATTACATGAAAGAATTGGAAAAAAAATATGAATTGCACTTTTAAAACAGTGTTAATTAAAAAGATTGCTTTAGATTGCTTTTTTTTTAAAAACCAGGGTGGTCACAAGTTTTAGTTTATCAATTTCCCTGACAATTTACTGACATAAAAATTACTTTCCCTGACAAAATTCTTTTTTTATGAAAAAGTTTCAATTTTCTTAATTTCCCTGCCAAAAAATTTTTTACTGACATTTCCCTGACTTTAATGACAAAAAATTTTTTTTTCCGACATTTCCCTGACTTTACTGACATGAGGCCACCCTGAAAACTATTAATAACTTTTTAACAGCCATATAATTTTTAAAAATGAAACGTAAACATTTTTTAGTAATTTACTAATAACAACTATCAAAATGGAAAAAATGGATTGTTTTTAGTCATAAATTTTTTAAATTTTAGAATCCACATAGCCATAATTTTGTACAATAATAAAATATGAGTAATTTAATTCCAATAAAAAAAATTATATTTTTTTTCTAGATAGATCTTAAATCTTTAAATAAATGTTTTTATTATTAAACAACCGACTTAAAACACTGTATTATTGAAAATACAATTAATATTTTTAAATTTGACAAAAAGTTTCTAAACATATAATAAATAGTCACGTTAAATAAATATTATTTTGGATTTTTAATCAAACATTTTATATAACCAAAAGAATTAAGTTTTTATTCTCAATTAATTGATTTTTTCTATACTTGATGAAACTTTTATAAAGTCAAAAAAGGTATTACTATATTAAATTATATGGTGAAAAATGAAAAATTTAGTTTTTAATGTTTTTAAAAATCTTAAAGAATAATAAAATTAGATACGAAAAATTTAAAACGTTAAAAAGTTGTAATTTAATAAACATCCACTATTAGTAATTATTATTTATAATATATTATAATCACGCGTCCAATAATAAATTTATTTCACTTGGCGGGCTTTTTGAAATCTACAAAATTCACACACGGAGAGAAAAAACAAGGCTTTTCCCCGTGACTTCAATTCATGCCTTTTCAGGTAGCAGTTTCACCGGATTTCCCGATGAATTTCATGCGTTTAGCGGTTAGGCCACGCCTTAGCCCTAGAATCTCACCGGGAAAACCCGTGAGCGTCCTGCATTTTTACTGTGATAATTTTCACGCGTTAAATGCATATTTTTTCATGGGGAAAAGCCTTGTTTTTTCTCTCCGTGCAAGAAAACTAAAATTCTTGAATTCTGTCAATTTGTTTTACCTTTTTTGGAAAAAAGTAGCATTTAGTAGCTTTATGACAAAATAAGTAGCAAAAGTAGGCTTGACCAAAAAAAGTGTCAAAAAAGTGGAAAAGTGTGTCACTTCGAAGCCTGATATTTCACTTTTTTGCATTATTGCATATACTTATTGATGTTTTCTTAAAAGAAAAACTAAATCTGAAGCACTTTTAGGGGAAAAAAGGTTAAAGTGTTTTTTCCTTTGACTTATAACCTAAGAATGTTTGTTTTCTAACCTAATGTTGAATTCTTTTTTGAGTTAAAAAAAATGTATTACATTTAAAAATTAAATAAATAAATGTATAAATTGCTTTTCCACAGTAAAACACTTTTTTAATATATTTTTATTATTAAAACGATTAAATTTTCTTCACAAATTTCGAAAAGGGCTCAACTCTGACAACTATAATATAAATTTTGTCCAGTCCACTGTTATTAAGGACAATTAATTTATAATTGTCTTATAGAACATAGCATCTAGTTACTACGAAAAAAACCTGGACTCTTTTTATTAAAGCTGTTTGAAATAAACAGTTTTTTGTGTCTCCTGTAAAATTTCAAAAAACTGAGTTGAGCCCTTTTCGAAATTCACGATTCATTAGCTAAAAGATAAATTTTGAAAAATATTTGTAAATGAGTCTTTTAATTTTGTTTCAATATAAATCAAAGCCGCTTTTAGATATTATTTAAATAAAAGAAATAATAATAAAATATATTTTTTTCTTGATTTGACTTGGAAGATTAATAATTTTTTTTTAATATTAACCAAAAGAAATTAAATAAAATAAAATTTTGGGTTTAGCACCCAAAATTTGTTCTAAATATTAATACCAATTGTTGTAATTTGATAATTATTTTTATACGAAAAGATTTGACTATAGATATTTTCATAACGCGGTGCAAAAAAGGGCACTTTTTTACACCTTGTTATGAAAAATATCGTTCGTAACTAGTGCTCGTTCAAAAATTGGCAACTGCTAGCACTCGTTACGAAATATACTATTTTGACACTACGAAAAGCAAAACAAGTTGCATTCCGTCAGGTTTAAAAAAGATAACAAATTTATAATCTTTGAAAATGTTTAATTTAGGCTTTTTGATTTTTATTGAAGTCAACAATATTTGGAAATATATAAATTGAAAAAATATTTCGTTCATTTAAACGTTCTGAATATTTGAAAAATATCAAATTATCAAAAAATGATAAATCTATTTTTCAAAGTTTTTTTCTAAGCACCCTTTTTATAGATAATAGGTACAATAAATAATTCATATAAAAATCATGTTTAAAACAAAGAGAAAAATAATAAAAAGGTTTTTGCTAAATTGTTCCTAAATTATAAACAAATAAAAAAATACATAAATTAAAGATTGACGTTATTGAACTTGAGTTTGGTTGACATTAAAATTTTTTTTAATTAAATTTGTATAAAGTGAAATTTAAATCAACTGAATTTAAACTTAATTAAAAAAAAGGAATTAAAATTTCAAAGATTAACAATTTTGACAAATTAAATTTCGAGTTAATCAATTGTTGATTAAAAATGTTATTATATGTTAAATAAAATTTTACTTTTTCCACCTTTTTTAAATTTTGTCACCTATTTTGTAAATTTTTTAAAGGTATAAAAAGTAAATTAAATCAATTGTAACAATTTGGAGGTAGATTGTGCAATAGGAATAAGGCAAACCTTTAAGAAATTAATTTTCTTAGAAGATATTTATTCTAAATATGCCATTCTCATCTAACCTTTAAATTTATTTGAACTCAGGAATGTAGAAAAAAAATTCTTCAAACTATAATTTAAGTTATAGTAATACTATAATCATTCTTGTGAATTTCCAAAAATATTTTTTTCAAAAGTTAACAAATAAAATACTCTTTTCTTTTTAAATCAAAACTAATAATAATAATAATAATAATAATAATAATAATAATAATAATAATAATAATAATAATAATAATAATAATAATAATAATAATTTACATGTTCACAAAAGTTAATAAAAAAAATTAATTTCTGTACATTTTATTAGAAATTTCTATATTTAGTAAAATAAATTATTGAATATTTCTTCCTACACCCAGAGAAATGGTATATTTGTCTCAGAACCAACTAGACTTTTTATTTGTTTGAAATAAATTTTATTTGGTTTGAATAAAATTTTATTTATCTCAAATATATGTTTTATTTGTGTCGAATAACATTTTTATTTAAAAGAAATAAAAAGTCTAGTTGGTTCTGAGACAAATATACGTTTATTTAACTCAAATAAAATATATTTGGTTTAAATAATATTTTTCTCTGGGTGTATTGAAATTGGAAATTTCAATTTACGTGAATTAAGCAGATCTCTGCGAGTGACATATTTTTGCCTTTAAATGCCGATTAATCAGCGACTTTAAAAGTCCAAATAGCACGTTTCTGTACCAAGGTAACCACGTGACCATTTGTATTTCACATTTTCTATCATGCATTCATCAAACAATTATTTTTATGAGTTATTTCTATCTAAACGAGTCTCTTCTGATGTATATTATATAAAATTAATATTTCCGAAAAATAATCATTATTACTCCATGAGCCCAAATAATATCATTATAATAAGTCCAATTAATAATAAAAATAATATGCATCAATGGCGACATATTTACAAACATTTATATTTGTTAATAATTCAATAGAAATATTTTTCAACTATTAATAACATAATTATTTACTTAATTATTTTTTATATTTTATAAGCTGTTTATTGCACCTTATTTAAGAAAATTTTTTTTTTGTTTATTTCTAAAACGAGACAAATATTTATGGTTAGGTATAAATTCTCTTTATATAAAAAAATCGGTAAAAACATATTTTTAAAAAGCTCTTTCTAATTAGTCGTTAAATATATTTTTATTAATATTATCAAATAAAATTTTCAACAAATACTACTTGGAAAAAACGAAATGTATTTTTAAATCCGAGCACAAACAAATTTATAATCACAAAAGGCTTTGTAACTGTCATTGAAACAAACGTTTTGCTGTTACTTTTATTACCAAATGTAATCAAATTTCATATTTTAAACATAAAATATAATCTTACCTATATTTTAATGATATAGTAAAATCTATAATCTATAATAATAGACAACAATTTCCATTTCATAGTAATTAAAAACAATGTTTTAACTTGCCTTTAAAGGCTTTAAAGCAAAGAAAATTGAGAATAACGAAAATTTTCAATTTTGAATTAATTTTGATTGTTTATAAAGCAAAAGTGTTTAAAATATATATACGTGCAATAGAAACGCCCATCGACATTTGTGTATCGTTACCAAATTGAATATTTGTACCGAAACAAAATTTGTGAAATAGAAATGAGTATTTTGAACTGGTTATCAAATTGATACTTTTCATTTATGTAAAAGGCCTATACATAGCGTATTAATTAGATCCTCATATAGCTGACGAAAAAAGATTAGACTCAAAATTTATTTAAAATATTGAACAGCCACTTGATGAAAAATTGAACATTATGCTTATCAATGAAATTTTTAACTAAAATAAAATATAGAACAGCTATTAATTCAAAAACCACAAGTATGATTAAATTAAATTTCTGCATTATATATATGCTCTCTCATGTTTCATAGCACGTTTTAATGTTCAATGTGTTTAGAAATATTCAGCAACATGTATACTACAGATTATAGAGATAAAAATTAGCAACAAACGAAAACTTGAATATAAATGGAACATTTGAAATATGCACACAATAAATTGCTGAATCAGAAAGAGGAGCCTGGCAGGTTGGAAAAAAATGAGGCAGGACAGAATTTGTTAAAAATTAGTCTTACGTGTATGCCGTGGACTAAAATTGATGAAATATTTCATCTTTAACACTTTCAGGAGATGATAAAGACTCTCCACAACGAGAGGTAAAAAACATTAAAATATTTGTAGAAAAAAACTTACTTTCGCAGTGGATGGTGCAGTATAGTTCTTCAATTGATGAGCAGCTTACACCGCCATTGTGTAAAATGATGTGAGTGTGAAATATGACCAGCAGGACCGGCCACTGCGCAGAGGAAGCGTTTGCTGACAATCAGGGATCGGAACTAAGCAGATCTAGTAACCCTTATGGGTAATCCACACTTCGATCAAAGATGCATATAAGCGGGACTTATATCTATATGCATCTTATATATATAAAGGCGCTTGCACACTTCCAAAATTTTGGGCGAGCAGCGAATTTTCATGGCCTTGAAACTCATATTACTAAATATAATTGGCTCAACAAAAAGCTGCGTGAAAATGTACTTTGTCAGAGCAATTCATATTTAGTAATGTGCATTTCAAGGTCGTGAAAATTCGCTGCTCGTCTAAAAATTTGGAAGTGTGCAAGCGCCTTAAGTCTCGCTTATTGGGATCCGAAATCATGTGAAACTGACCCACCCCTGTACCCACTTGCGTCCGACATCTTGGATTTTATCTCTTTTTTTTACATATGTTAGAGAGAGACGAAATGAAAAGACAACTACCGCAAGTGGGTCGACACCAGAGGGCCTACGCAGCTCTGCGGTTCCCAATATGCATCTTAGATCGAAGTGTGGATTCCCCATTGTTACGTGCTGGGTTTAACGTAACGTTATAATTTCCGTAAGAACCATATATCGAGTCATCCAGTGGTTCAGTATTATGATGTTAGAAATACTGTTAGGGCCGGAGGATGAATAGTCTATTGGTTCGTCAAATGTAGACATTGGAAATCAAAAGAGTTCAAATATGAGTTAAATTATTTAATTGATTTTATAAAAACTTAAAAATATCACTGAACTAAATTAAGAATTATTTAAGTTAAAAATCAAACTGTTTATTTAATGTTATTTATATGAATATAAATAACTTTCACTAAAGTTAAATTATTAAATTATATTAAAGTGTTTATTTAATTATTTTAAGGTTCTTTCAAGAAGGCTAGAGACAGGAGGTGAAACATCGGTAGTGGGGATGAGTCAAGAGCCTTTCTTTAACCAGGCGTTTTTCGTTTCGAAAAGTCGCCGGCGCGGTGCTTCTGCACATCACTCACACATTCAAATTCTTGTATACCGTGTGTTTCACATCATGTGTATGATATGATTTTAATTTGAGGTTAACTTTAAAGTGCAATCGAGACACAATGTGTGTCATAACGGATATATAGAATTAATGTGAGTGATTATTAAATTAAGTGTTATTCAAATAATTAAAAATTCCGAAAACGTGCTGTGTGAAAAGTTGAAACAAGAAGAAAGATAAACACAGCACTATGACTATTACTTTTTGTTAACTTTTAATACACTTCATGCTATAGTTTACACATTTTTTTGTTTTTAAAACTTTTTTTTTAATAACTAAAAGATGTTTGAAAATATAAACACTTATATTTCATATTGTATTTGTATAGAATATATTTTCCCGTGTTTACGTGTGTAGCTGCGCAGAAGTCTGTGTTTGAAAGTAAACGCCTGACCATATATCAACTGAGCGACTCAGCATTGCCATACCCCCACTACCGAAGTTTTACCTCCTGTCTCTAGTCTTCTTGGGTTCTTTAAATAAGTAACACCAATATTTATAGTTGGAAAATTTAGTAAAAACCAAATTTTATTAGTTTTTAGTCACTTATTGTTTTTTACACAGTTTTTAGAATAATGTTTAAGTTCACAAAATATTTTAAGTTATAATATTTGAACACGGGTCAAATATTAGGTTTGTTCTCGCTAGCTACACTGCTACACTCGAGTGTAACAAGAGTGTAAAACGGAGCATGCGCACTTAAACAAAGTACAAAATCTAGCGAGAACGCAAAAGTGTAGAGAAAGTGCACGAAAAAATTTTATATCTGAAATTTTATTTCAAAACAAACCACCTTATAAACAATTATTATTGTGAAGCAATTTTTTAAATAATTATTTATCTTATTTATTAATGCCAAAATTTATTTACTACACTCGAATCTTGTTATAACGAATCTCGTTACAACGTTCTCTCGTTACAACGAACATTAAAACTCTCGATACAACGACAAAAAAAACACGAACGAATTTAAGAATTTAATTTAACCAAAATTTTGGTTAACTCAAAAACAAACGACTAAGTTAATCAACCCTTAACTTTATTTAACCTAAAGAATCAGTGATCTGATTATTATTAAAAATTCTTACTTTTTCTTTTAACTGATTCCATAATGCAGAAACTTTTAATATAAATAAACATACTTTACGAAATTTTTTACACGTATTTGACGTTTTGTTCTGTTAATCACAGATAAATTCATGTGTTTGAATAGAACGTGAAGTAGGATTCCTCCTTCCGTCGTAATATCGAGATTTCGAAGTCCCAAGATCGTCGTTATAACGAGAATCGAGTGTATTAGTGATTTTAAAAGAAAAATTTCTCAGTTTTATGATGGTAAATTTTTTTTCAAATAATAGGATTTATTCCCATTATTACCTGTAAACATTAAAATGGGCAATTCATGATAATTTAAGATAATTATTCAATTTTACAAGAATTTCGAAGGTTAAATGTATATGTACCGAGCGGAATTAATTTTTTTCAAATTTTTACACAGTTTAAACTCTGACATCTTTGTAAAATTTAATTAATTTCTTAATTTCAACCGAATTGCTCATTTTTACAGAAAATAAAACTAGAATGTTTAAGCTTCATTTTCACATAAGTTTTAAGAAAAACGGAAGCGACATGTTTTGAAATATTCTAAAGGTTATCTTTCAAACTTAATTTTTTTCATAAATTCTATTATTTTTTAAAAAATATGTTTACCATCATAAAATTGAGGAATTTTTTTTAATTCACTATAAATAAAGTTTGGTTTTAATGAATGGGAGAATAATTATTTAAAAATTGCTTTACAATGTCAATTGTTTATAAGGTGGTACTTTATGGGCAATTCTCTGGAACCTTTAACTTTTGACTTGAAAAAAAAAAATTTACTAGCACATTAATAAAAATTTGTATATAAATTAAAATTAGCATTTAGAATTTATTTTTGCAGTTAAAAATGTAATATTTCGAAGGTCTCATATATTTTTATTCTTTTTTAATAAGACGATTTTTTACAGGTTAAAATCTATTGTTTTCGATTGTTTTGGATTTAAATATTTTGGTTGTCTTTACTTTTTTATAATATTTATTATTTATTTTTTAATATTCTCTATTAGAGTTATATTAAATTTAAATTAAATTGGTCAAATTTAAATATTTTAATAAAAATTAGTGAACTTAATTATTATTTATTTATTTAATTAAATTTATCTTAATTGTAATATTTTTTCTAGATAACCTTAATAATTTCCTTCTCTGATGCAAGTTTTTCAAATTGTTTTCTGCTTCTTTTTCCCTTTTTTTCCTTCTTTTTTCCCTCATTTGTTCTGCTTTTTATTCTAAATTTCTTTCATTGACCTCATTATTTTTAACTTTACGAATTACATATTTCTATTTTGAACTTTAAAAACAGAACGGTCAATAGTGAAGTTATCAATTTATCACACTGACAACCTTGAAATCCTAATTTATTGCGACAAAAAATTAGTTTTTTACGGTCCTGACAATTTCGGTCCTGACATTTTCACGTGTACCTCCTTGTATCTCGATAATTATTGAAAATTTTAAGGCGTGCTTTTACACACAAGTAAAAAATATAATTGTGCGAATGTGCGTACAGGTTTGATAAATTTTTAAAGTTTTGTTTAATTGTGCCGAATCATTTACGGTCCTGACATAACCAGGTTCTCTGTCGAATTCAAGAACAATATTCTTCAATAATTTCAATATAAATTATTGCACATAAAAATTTCAACTGGCCACAGTTTTAGTAAGTTTTAAGCTTTCATTCTATGCACTTTTCGTGCATATTTCTCTGAGATTTTTAAAGCGCTTTCTACACAGAGTTCGGTCTCCTTACTCTTCCTTCCTGGTTTGTCTCCCTCTACATTTTCTTACTTTTTCCAAAAACGGAAAATATAGTGAAACAAACTTATGCCTCTGTCATAGGAGAAAGAAAGACAAGAATGGTTTTTCCAAAAGTTGTGTTTTAATTTTGGAACTTTGCAGAGGCTATGCCTTGTTATTTGCTCAAGATAAATCTGTCTATATTGGGGACTCAACCTAAGGATAAGAAATATGTACACTGAAATGCTCCCTTTAAATAGATTAGGAAACAATAAGATTTATGTTATTTTCTAAGGTTTCTAAATGTCTTTTTTTTAAGAAAAAGAACATTAAATTTGTATTTATAAAATAAAGACGGAGTAAAAAATCATTCAGTTTTTATAATTATTAATCTCTACAATATATAGTTATGAACTGAATTTGTTCTCTCGATGATTTATCAATCAGTGTTCTATCAACACAATGTCCAGAAATTGCACTGTGGTAAGTATAAAGACCAAAGCATAATAGCTTCGCGAACAAGACGCATGGATTAGAAAAGGACATATTGTAACGAGCGACTATTATCTTGCTCGAATCGTGATTCGATATTAATCGAAATGCGATTAAAAGTCGCGGGAAAATATAATATTAATTTTATATTTAAAATAATATCCTGTCCATAGATTGAGAAGAACTTTCTGCGTTCAATTTAGTAAATATGTTCCTAAAATATTGTATTCTTCAAATATCTCTCTATCAATAGCCGCAATATAACAAAAGATAAAATACATATGTTTCGCATACACAGTGTGTCTTTGAAAATATCGCTACAAAAATGGTAAGGTTTTAAACACATTTCCAGCAATATGAGTTTGTGTATTGTCACTCTGAAGACAATATACCCTTAAAACTCAAACACAATTGTCAACCATAAACTAAGAGAGATAACCCCAAAGATGTCATAAAAAACTGTCTTTCAATTCTCAAGTAGACCCTCTTTGGAGGTAAAACCATAAAACACATCGGTTGACCAACGTACATTTTATCCTTTTTCTCAGGATAAAATTACTTACTGGAAAAACCCAGTTTTCAATACTTTTTAGAAATGTTAATCATTCCACTACTTTTTATAAATAATCGTAATTTGTATATTACATTATTTCTATCAAACTAACATCTAATCAATTATT